GGCAGCCGCTGGTTATCTAAGCATAGACTGGTTTTACCTAAAAAGGTATCGTCCAAGAGAGTCTTTAAATTTTCTGATGTGGCGTCCCCGTAGTCCCCGACATTTTGCAAACCGACAACAAAGTTCTCTGCTACCCCATCCCGTTTTGATCATTATGAGTTCTTTTTCTTGCTTGCGAACCATCCGAAAAAAACAGTAAAAAATTGGGTTTCATTTATAACATCACAAAATTTCTTTCTCATTGACATGGCTATTTCGTTGATAAATTCCCTGAACACCGTATATTAGTTGTACCCCATGTTTTTTCTGAATTTCAATAAAAGATTTGAATGATTTTAGAGGCAAACCGTCTGTAGCTACTTTATATGCAGTGGTTATAAGTTTTGTATATGCGTCGTGTGACAATTGTTTCAATTTACTGTCCATCACCGGTTGAGTTCCTTGAGCTGTAGCCGTCGTATTATTAGTAGAACTTGTAGAACTAGATTTAGAAGCATGGTCGGCGATGTCCCTAGAAGTTTCTCAAAATATATAGCAGCTTTGTGTGTTTTTTTAATTTAAATTTCTAAATACAGTATGTTTACTGATAAAGGTTGTCCCCACAACATACTTCTCAAACTCTGTTAATGTTTTGCCTCGTAAGTGCGGAGAACGTTAAACTTTTTCGTGGTGCCGGGCACAAATTTTGCACCAAATATTAATTACAAATTGGCGGCCTTGTGAATCAGTTTTGGTATTAGAACCAATTACAGCGTTGACATCCCAATTATTAAATGTGTGTAGTTGTACACAATTTCGGTGTTGAGACATTTTTTAGTCAATATTTCTATTGATTGTATCCAAATTCTAGCAGACGAATACGCTCATTGAACATGCCATTGGTTGTCAAGTACTCGATTTATCGGTCTTATGCTTACAACAGGAAACACTACCTTGGACGTTCGAGTAAATCTCTAGCTCAATGCTAAAGGCGGGAAAGGAATGTATATATATCGTGATTATCCAGATGCTTTCAATATGACCACGACAGAAATTCATAACGTTATATGTAGTCAAATTCCACAATCAAAAACTCTTACAAAAATAACGCCGTAACACGGAAATCATTTAATTTAAAAACGATCAATCGTGTATTACTAATGTAATACTATCACTAATAAATAATAATCTATCATGAATGCAAACGTCATGGAGAGACTTGACAACCGAGCTAATAATCTTCAACCCAAATGTCTCGATACCATAACAAAACTACTCTTCACGATTTTTGGATACAATAATATTTTATTTAACTTTTCAAGCTCGATTTTCTTGATAAAAATTTCGAAATTGTCTGAATTTTTAGCAGGAGTTATAACCTGCGCTTGTGTTTTCAAGATGTCAGGCGCAGACGGGCGCGAGCGCGCAAACGCCCGTCAAAAATGATGCCCTGACAAATCTATAAATACAATTGATATTGCTGGATTTCGTTGATTCTGCGTCCATTTTATAACACGTGTGCAATGCTTATGTGGAAATCCGTTTAACGGTTTCATTGATGCCGGAAGTGAGACAAGTTAAAGGGTAACGTGGCACCGGTGTAACTCGTCATTACTGCTTCGCAATTCTAGTTTAAATTTGAATCCGCCCACTACCAAACCAAAGTCACACATATTTAATATTAAAAATACTGTATTCAACGATAGACTGACGTAATTAATGGCACGTTTATTCGAAATATACGCAAACATGCTGAGGCATTCCATTGTTTCAATCAGCAAAAGTCATCTGTTTTTACTAATTGATACGTTTCTCAATTGCGTTTGGGGTATAGATTTGTAATACACTACATTTATCGATATGGAATTATTGAAAATATTGTTGACTCTACTTATCCTATACTCCATTGACGTCTGGTGGTTTGTAATGTATCCCCCCCCCCCAAAAAAAAAACAGCAAGGAATCGGATAATTGTGTTTCAGCATTAAAGGCCCACATCAGAATCTCCTTATAATTACACGAAATAATTTCATGGGTTAATTATCTTTTGGATCAAAGCTTCAAAACCAAATACAGTCTTTCCAATGTACCATGATGTGCTCTTTTTAGATTTAATTGTATGGATTGCACTTCTACCAAAATGCCTAAAATTTTATATATAACAGTTTTACTATTGTCGAGAAATTTATACCATAGCACCGTTCAATTCTATTTTTTGTAAAATTACTGAATACATGCATTTTATTGACATCTTTCACCTATTCCCAACACGGAAATGGACATTATATTTTGTAGCATTAATGTAATTGTTTGTTTTTTTAAACATATCAAAGCATAATACTGCCTTTACTTATGAAAGAAGTTATTTGTTCTAAAAATAGGAAATCGATAACAATAATAATTACTGCTATTAAGTATATGTAACCTTTGTACGACTGTTCGATACATTAATGCACTATATTTAATAGTCTTTAATAATGTATTTCCCATAAAAATACTACTACACCGTGACTTGGTATAGTACCAGTTCGGCTTTCCTGGTTTAATTATCTTGCACGGATATATCATCTATATTCTAGTATTACGTGTTCCTTCCTGAAAATTATTGGGAATAAAAGCATATTCAAACTACTGTATCTATCAAAAGTTTGCTTTAAATCCCTATCAAAACAGGAGGGTTGGATGGCCGAATGGTTAGCGCCTGTGCATTGTATCGGGAGGCCTGTCATTGAGTCAACTGGTGTAGTTTCGATTCCCTGGTTGTGCGTGACAAGGAATAGGGTCGCCTGTCCATCCTCGTGGGATTTCTCCGGATCCTCCAGTTTCCTCCCACAGCTAACGAACCCTACGCGCAAACGAATTATTTAAATAAAATTGAACCATATGTTAGACCCGAAATGCCCTAGTTTGTGTCGAGTGGACGTTAAACTCCATTTCTCTCTCTGTCCCCCCCCCCCTCTCAAAACATTTTAATTGGATTACCCCATGCTAACCGTATTTATCACGTGATAAATTAATTTGAGGGAGAATCCATCTTTAGCTTGTATTTGTCATTAGTTACTCTCCAATTGCCATAAATATCGAAGCATAAGTAAATTCTTGGATTATTCTCTGCCAACTTTTTTCCGGCCTTTTTATCGCAGTCTCACAGTCGTTAGCCTTTAGATCAGCACGTCAGAAGCGCTCTTTTCGTCAACCGGGTATACGTTTAGGGATACTCTCACATTTTGTCTCATGCGCTACCATGGGTGATTTCAGGGAAACTAGTATTTGTTCTAGTGTAAGTGGGTGTCTCTGCTTTCCATATACCAAAATTGTCATACTTTTATTGGAAATAAATACCCTCTTAATACGTTCGTAGGAATGTATCATTGGAAATAACTAACCGATATATATTTTTGTGGGAATGTATTTTTAAGAAATATTATAAACACTAAAATTTGGAAGTGAAGTTGATGTTTCATCCAAAGCATATGCCGAATCCGCACACTATGTTGTAACACCACCCTATACACAGTCATGCTTCTCCAGCAAACAATTCAGCAAGTCCGTACACAGGGGAACATTTGCTCTTTCTATTGAACAAAATTATGGTATCATGAAATACCTTCAATTTAAATGAAATGGTATTTAACGTCCTACATCTCTGCGCCATCTGGGCTAATGAAGACGGACACATAACGTACAGTGTGCTATGCGGAAAATATTGCCCGGGTACCCCTCCGTCCCATGTAGGAAAGAACAGTTGAATGGAATTTTGGACGAGAACACGGTATTGTCAAGATTATGTAGCTGAAGTTGATGTTGATTAATTAGATCAAAACAAAAAATAGTAAACCCTAAAAAGTATATGTTATACGGTACTTTTGATCACTGACAGACTAATTGTAAACTATTGTGCATCAAAACCCATTATTTAAGACAATAAAATGCAATATATTTAACCAATGTACTTTTAAACTTTTGTTCAGACGATTTGCAGGGATTTTATTTGCCTAAAATCCCTGCCTACCAAAAGATATTGTGTTTTTAAAAGATGACAACGAAACATGTACTGCTTTATCTATAATAGATTATTAAACTTTTGTTCAAATGATTTGCCGGGATTTTATTTGCACTTCTGCCTACCAAAAGATATTGTGTTTTTAAAAGATGACAACGAAACATAAATTAGTTAAATACGAATTCGCTTTTATGACAGTATACAAGCTATCTGTTTTTCAACTTAACACGTTAATCATCTATCAATTTTTACAGTGTAGAACATACTATCGCCAAAAACGATTGATAGCTTATCAACCACTACCACTTGCTGTTCCTATCAGAAAATTGAATCAATCACAATCCATATGACTAGACACGAATGATATCTGCAACACTCATCGCTATCTGGGGACAGTTCAACAACAGAAATCGAATATATTATTTATACACAAATATTGGTTTTAAAATAACGGCATTTAATCACTCAGCAATCACGATTCTGGACAATGCAGAATTTCTACAAACTGCGTACTAGTTAAAATTAACCGATGTTATCTTTCATCTTGCTTTGATCGTTTTTATAAAAAATTTATTCTTTCATTATTAATAAAAATGCGTTTTCTAGTAATAATACCAATACTAAAACCTAATAGAATAAGTTAATAAAGTGATATATTTTTTTTATAAGACATTAGGATTAATTATGAATTAGGTAGATCAATACATGTATACTAACAATTAAAAATGCCGATGGATAAAAAAATAAGAATTGCAAATTTGACATTTTCTGTTCTTTTCTCTCGAATGTGTGTGTGTGAAATGACATGAATGATGTGTGTTTAACGCCTTGCTGTTCTGCTCCGAACTGGGCTAATGAAGACGGGCCTACGCCATACAGTGTGTTATGAGGGAAATTCAGCCCGGGCAGCGGCACTACGGCCTACTCTTATATCGAATTCCAACTGTTAAGGGCTGTGCTGGGGGGGGGGGGATTTAAATAAAATAAAACTATCTACTTTTGAGGGTGCGGACTTTATCTGGAGAACCAATAATTTTAAACACATAACATTACATTGAACGACACTTTCTAGGCATTTTAAGCAATAACATTGCAGCCAATGATACACTAAGTAAGACTGTGGTGCTTCTTATAAATCATAACGTTTTGTTGTTGTTGTTTTTATTTTGATTGAAGCCTGATTCATTACAGGTCCCGGGCTTTAGAGCGGAGGGGACTCTTACGACAATCCCCGGATACATTTACTTGATCTGATATGTGCGTTGGTGGTGTCTGTATATTTTGTCCTGTCAGTAGGTTTTTCTTGTGCAATTGTTTGTGTGTCGTGTACTCCTTGCACTTACCATTAAAACTCTTGTGCTTTAACCAACTGAGACAAATTACTGCACCTACTTTTAAGTGAAACTACAATCTTTGAAATTGTTTCTATTATTATTTTTCTTAATTTGGTTCATATATAAAAACTATCATAATCTAATATTTTCCTAAAAATTTGTATCCTGATATTAAGAATTTGGAGTTCAGTACATTAGAACCAACATTCTTTTGTTGAAAGGGTTGTTGGCCACCAACAAATATGTTAATAAGACCAGGTTCTACAGCCCAGCCTTTTTTATCCAACCAAACAGCCATATGTTCAGCTTTAATCGTAAATGAAAAATGGATTCTGTCTTGTGCGAGGATTGGTAATCTTGAAAAATAAACCAACTGAATATTGGGAGTTATTACAGTTGCGTTGCACCATTTAATATAAACTTGAATGACTTCATCCGCAGTAATTTTCCCGATATTGAGGACACTGGCATTTCCGTGTACATCCTCTCCGGCTTTTAGTATGTACACTCCATCTTTCTGTGGTGTGTCTAAATGCAAGGACTCATACCAAAACTCGGTGTACGACAACCCGTATCCAAATGGGTAAAGCGCTGGTTGATCATCTCGTAGGTATCGATAGGTTCGACCAGCCATTGTATAATTAACCATTGGTGGAAGCTGATCTGTTGATTGGGGCCAGGTATACGGCGTCCGAGCAGCGGGTACTGAATACGGACCGTCGTTTATAATGATTTTTCTCAAGGCCGTCCCAGTGGCTTGCGCTGGGTAAAATGCTGCTATGATAGCTGAAATGCGTTCGCTGTGCTCCGCCCATGATAAGTCCACTGCACCAGCGTTGAATATAATGAGGATGATTTTAGCATCTTTTGGACTATAATTGATGGCATCTTTCAGCAATTGAAGTTGATGTCCCGGGAGACTAATATTAGATCTATCGCGACCTTCTTGTTCTACTTCTATTCCCAGTCCTAAACAAACGAACACAATTTCTGCATCATGGACCGCACTTGCAATGTCATTATATATATAGTGAGTGCATCGATTATCATTACAACCTTCTCCAGAGGTGATATTTCCGCCCAAAACTGACAGTCCGTCATATGGCGTGACCGTGAATTTGGAATCCATCTCTGGGGTATAATCTCCAAATATTTCGTTATTATTGATCATTGGACCAACTATAGCTATCCAGTTGTATGGTGCTTGACGTAAGGGTAGAGTGTTATTAAGATTCTTCAATAGAACAAATGATTTCATAGCTGCTTCTTCTGACAGATCTTGGTGCTCTTGGCTTTGTATTATAGAGAGATCCAAACTACGATATGGATTCATTTCTGGGGGGTCGAATTCACCCAGTCTCATACGTGTGTACCATAAAGGCTTCATTCTTTCAGAAATTGTCTCTTGTGACAATTTACCTTGTTTGACTGCATCGACCATGGAATAGAAAGCATTAGTGAAGTTAGACCAGTTTCCTGCAAAACATAACTTATAGAGTTGGCTATTTGGTAAACGTCGTGCTGATATTTTAAGTAATATTAAACACAATATTAAAATGTATGTCAGAAAGTAAATGCCACGGGATTGTTGTCAAAATTAACACACAAATATGCTGAAAGTTATCATCTAGATCATGCGAGGATTAATATTTCAAATATTATACTTTGACATGTTCTTTCTGGCGACATCATCACGCGTGTGCAGATGTCATCTTATTGTTAAAGAAAATTTTGAATAAAAAATAGCACCTAAGACAAAATTAACCTGCAAATGACTTAAAATAATAAGTTGCGTACACCCCTTTTTCTTATATTACAGTATAAATGCTATAATACATCTTACAATATCATGCTCTGTTCAGATTTGTGTAACATTAGGAGTTTAAAGAAGGATGGAGATCAGAAAAAAACGATTAATGTGATTTAATTATACATTTACCCGGTGATTGCGTGAAAATTAGCTGAATCTACAGACAATGCCCCACATCCCCACCCTCTGTACATTTTACAAAGACGGGATATGCAAGCGTTGGCTTTGAAACCTAGATAACCATAGAAAACGACACTTTTGTTTGGCAAAAAAGGCATAATAAGTTTATCCTTTGAGTTTTTAGTCATGATTTTTGACAATTTTCTGCAACTAGCCACAAGTGTAGAGGTATGGAGTCAGGAGCACGATTTATGGAGAAAGGCTGTTCCTGTCATCCATGGGGAAGACAAAATAACATTCTTATCATCAATAACGATTTGAAATGGTGTCCCTGACGCTGCATTTTCATACACAAACATTGTCCCAAGGTTCCGTCAGATCATGATTAAAATGCTTTCGGGTTGTCATTGGTATCTTTTCGCAAACCACATTCCTTTTTCTTTGGTTGTTATCAGAGCATCAAAGTGAACGCTCGCATATAGTATAACTTCAATATAAATGTATTTAAAACGTGATAAAATATCTTTAATCATCGACTCTGATATCCAGGCATCTAAAAACGTATCCTGCTTTAAAGTCACAGTGTCTCCAACCTAATGTTAATTTTTGCTTTAAACTGTACTATAATGTAAAACAAACCCCAGTGTAATGTCATATATTTCTATTAAGTTAAGACATAATTTTGCTTTAAAAGGTTAATAAAGGATGTGATTAATATTACTTTATTTTGTAAATACCTTTGGAGTGAAAGATATTCTGACGGTAAGTATATATCATCAATTATTCACGAGAAGTTGGTGTAAAAGGCCGATTTACATTTATGTGGATACTTATTTTAAATTTAAACAATATATTTTATATGGTTTTAAAAAACAATCGATTACATGTCCAGTTTAGTAAGTTCAAATTGATCTCAACTAGACGAAAATTACACGAAAATATTCCTAGAGCTAAGACAGGCTTAATATCATTGAATATCTTATTTAATGGCAACAAACGAAAATGAACGTTGACGCTTTGGTAGCAAACCATTAGCATAAGTGTTTCATTTTAGGATTGTTTTCTTCCTTTTTAAAATAAAAATAACTCATTTAATTTATTTAGCGTTTTTACACGTGGGAGTGTAAAAAATAGTTAAAATAAGTGCTATTAGTGAAATATCATTCTTCCATACTCACCAGCCGGAAGGTCTAGATTACAACCAGCATTAACGCAAGCAGCAACAGTGTCGACATTATTGCTAGTATAGTTATGGTAGTGTCTGACATATTCTACAGCCCCAGCATCACTGACGACATATCCAGTAAACCCCCACTCCTCTCGTAATATAGTGGTTAAAAGTTCCTTGTTAGCACAAGACGGAACTCCGTTTATGCTAGTGTAACTGCACATAATGCTATAGGAACCAGCATTAACACAGGCACGGAACGCCGGAAGGAACGTTGTCCTCCAATCTCTCTCATTCACTACAGCATCAAAAGAAAATCGATTTTCTGGGATGTTTTCTGGTCCAGCATACGCATCGAAATGTTTACATCCAGCAGTAGCTCGAGCATAACGGGGGTGATCACCCTGCAATCCCTGAACAAAGTTTGTTGCCATAATTCCCGTAAAATACGGATCTTCGCCATATGTCTCCTGACTTCGACCCCATCTGGGATCCCTAAGGATATTGATGACCGGACTGAAACAGGTTAGACCTTGGTGGAAGCCGTACAAACCGTGTTTTGTGTAATTGTTATTTTTGGCTCTTACTTCCAAGCTTGTCGCCATTGCAACACGATACAAAATATCAGTACTCCATGTTGCTGCTAATCCTATTGCCTGTGGAAAAGACGTTGCGTTACCTGCCCTGCCATCTCCATGAAGACATTCAACTGCCCAATCAATCTGTCCAATACCGAGGCGAGGTATACCCGGAGTACCGGTCGTGGTATTAGCCCTGCCTTTAGCCATCTGGTTCATCATTTCTCCTAAGGTTAATCGTGAAACTAAATCATCCACCCTTTCTTCCCACGATAAGGAAATATTCATAAATGGGTATAAGCATGCTGCAATGTCTATACAGAACAGACCCACCATCAATCCGGGTTTTAAACCTTTCATGTTAACGTATTATCTGAAATAATTCGCTCTTGCAGTATTCATTTCAACAACGTTGTTAAGATAGGCTATCTGGGTCATATTTGACGACTCCCATTAACGGCTTTTATATGGAAGACCAAATGGGACAATATTCATGATTCTTGTTTCTACATTCCAGTTTAAATATTTTAGACATGAACGCAACATTCTAAACTAATGATTCTTGTTTCTACATTTGTAAACACATTCGAAACACGCGTAGGTCTAAGTTGCAAACACTATCCTATAGTTATAGTTAATATGAAAAAGTAAACAAATAACTGAATAAATTCCATTTAAAACACAGCATTATCATCCATTTTTGTCATATTCGAAACACGTGTAGGCCTAGGTCTAATTTGTAAACATATGAAAAAGTAAAAAAATAACAGCGAATATGTAAGAAAGGCCTTTGTCCTAATTTTTCTAGCTGTTTAAATTATAGAAGTTATTTGTATTGTTATTATATCTCGAGCTTAATTTCTGTTTCATGCAACTAATTACTGTAAACACAACAGGGGCCCACTTCCACTCGTGAAAAAAATGTATACTTTTGATTTCTAATCTATAGTCTGTATCAAAGTTGTACACATACGCTAACGCCCTCTGGTGTAATAATGTTGATAATTCATTATATTTTTCTGGACATTTTCATTTCAAGATTTTAACTTCAAGACTTTTTGAAACGTAGAAAATATTTTCATAAGAGTTCAAATTCCAGATTTTTTAAAGATACTTTCAGAAAACAATGAATTGATTTCTTTGCCGTGTAAAATTAAGAAATTATTTTTTATTTTAATATTTAATGATATATAAAAGTTACCGATAAAACGCCGAAAATGAAACATAAAGTCAATTTTTTTGTTTAAAATGTAGATTTTGTGCATGAAATGTTGCCATAAGAATGTAGAAACAAGAATCATTAGTTTAGAATGTTGCGTTCGTGTCTAAAATGTTCATACTGGAATGTAGAAACAAGAATCATGAATGTTGTCCCATTTGGTCTTCCATACTTTTAATATATCACACATTGCCAAAGATTTTAGCTTTTTGACGTGCCTTGCAATATTTGACACCCCCAAAATACCAAAGGAAAAAATGCAACCCAGCGCGACAACTAAAAAAAGGCTTTATTGTAGTAAAAATTGTTTAAAGTTAATCAGGTGATATAGTGTGTGAAATACATTATTGGGAGAAAAATAACACTGACACGAGATAGTGGTTATCTTGTTACTCCTAACATATCTTATGATAATCAAATATCATAATATGGATGCTGAATAACTAGATTAAATTGATATTTAATATACATACTTCAACACCGTTTGAAGAGATAACAGTGTTTACACATTACATTGTAATATATTTTGAGAATTTCACTTATAATGGATTTGAAACCTCGGGAAAAACAATTCACCTGCAATAAGTCCAAAACCATAAAAAGGTCCAGACCACTTTTATTTTCTCCGCTTTTCCTTTGTGATTAGTGTTTTGTTAAGAATCGAAGAAAAGAGTTGAATTGCCATTTTCTTCCTATTGTCAATTAATATCCACGATTTTGAGTTAAGAGGTTGATTATATTTAAAGTAGGGCACGTTTACTAGTATGCTAATTTCAGTTCGTTTATCTCAAAATTTTCATTGTGAAACTCGTGTGCTTTTGGGCACGGCGCTGCAACATTGTAGATGTATTTTCTAAGAAATCAGTAACATATGATATACTAACAGGATACCCGGCGTCGCCCGGGGATCACGAAATTCGAAGAATAAGGCCCAAGACTCAGCTAATTCAGGTAGCATCGACATGAAACCTGTAATGTTTGTTCTTTGGATAGTAGGGCATCGATTGACGTCACAATTCCAAGATGGCTGCGATGACATACTCGAATCCTGGTCCATAGAACGTTCGTACTTGTTGTCTCCCGCCTTTCGAAGAAAGCGTGGGATTATTAAAATTGGTCCGTCCGTCCGTCCGTTCGCCTGGCTGTCCGCAACACTTTTTAGGATACAGCAACTCTTGCTTCTAATTGAGATAGAATTTTCAAGCTTGGTGTTTATTAGGCGAATGCCTTGATGATGAGCATTTTCTGCTTAGGATAAGCAGAGATTCACAATTCGATTGGTCGATGCTTTGGGGCACGCTAACTTTTCTGAAACTTGCGGTAATACCATGACTAAGGTCGATAATGAGCGTTTTCGGCACAGGTTAAGCAATTTAATTGGTCGGGACTTTGGAGCTCGACAACTTTGATTCTTGTTGAGTGAGAAAGGTGGAACTTGGCGTATGTCATTACATCAATACCTTGACTAAGTTCGATAATGCGCATTTCCTACAGTTTCATTACATCAGTACCGTGACTAAGTTCAAAAATGAACATTTTCTGTGTCGATATTTTGGGACATGATAACTTTGATTACAATTGAGAGAGAGAGAGAGAGAAATGGTGTTTAACGTCCACTCAACACAAACTAGGTCATTTCGGGACTAACATATGGTTTAATTTTATTTCAATAATTCGCTTGCGCGCAGGGGTCTTTAGCAGTTGGAGGAAACCGGAGAAAACCCACGAGGTTGGACAGGCGACCCTACTCCTTGTCACGTACAACCGGGGATTCGAAACCACGCCAGTCGACTCAATGACAGACTTTATGATACAGCGCGCACACGCTAACCATTCAGCCATCCAACCCCCCTCAATTGAGTGAGAGTGGTAATAATGAGCTCCAATAATGAGCATTTGCGGTTCACATGAAGCCCTGATAATCAAAATGGTCGATGCTTTATAAAAATATAAGTATGAAATTTTTAATTTGGTGGGGACACCAACCTCACTGATGGCTTGTTTTATATGATTTGGCTTCATTTCTTCAAATATGCACTGAGCTTAATGTTTGATACATACTCGAGAGACATAATTATTTCAAAACTCCAAAGGGACAATTTTAAAATGTCAACAATCTTTACATGGTGTAAGTAGTAACCCTAAGATTTCACAATCGTTTTGATAGAAATATGTACAAAAGGTATCTGATTTATTATAATACTGTAATAATTAAGCTATTTCAATTTTTTTTACAAAGTACGACATGAGAGGTTTAGCTTGAACAAAGCTTGGTATCTACATGTTGATTTCTTAATGTTTCCATGTAAATTATTCATAACGCTGCAACAACATTTGTTAAAGCCGGTGATCGTAGGACAATATCTAATTTTCACGGCTTAATTCAAATTGGTTATAGAACGTCTAATTTATAAAAAGGCAAATCTAGAATATCAACTGTAGATAATCTCCTCTTTGATTGACATTTAGTAATTGAACATATTAACACACAATTACTGAGTTTAATACCAAGCGACGTTTCGACGAAGATATTCTCGTCTTTATTAAGCAAATGAGACGGGTATGTGAATAGTAGGCAAATATATACAGAATATGCAACAAAAATAGCAATCAAATACAATTAAAACTTAACACTTGATTTGATATTTGTTTATTTGGTGCAATGTCTATTTTCTGTCTTGTCCGCAGGTTTATCTTGTAGATTTTTGTTTTGCGCGTAGTGCGGTCCTCCTGCACTTAATATTTGATTAAGGGCCATTTAAAACTAAACCTACACAACGGAAACTCTTACAGGGATTAAAAGGGGGGGGGGGCATATTATTTAAAACGGTCAATGTATTAACACTATTATTAACCAATTAACCTGGGCTATAGATAAACAATAAGTGTAAATGTATGAGAGTATGAGTGAACAAGAGTGATCGCTGATGCAAGGGAGAAGGAAAAATAAAACATATATTAATTCAATAAACAGAAAATCATGAAAGGTAAAACCTATTATTAGACTGTAAAACTGGAAGGGGGAACCGTAAATATAGTAATTCAATAAACTGAAAATCATGAAAGATAAAATCTCTTATTAGACTATAAAAACTGGACGAGGGAAAACGTAAATAAATCAATTCAATAAAATGAAAATCAAGAAATGTGAAATATATCATCAGACTGTAAACCTGGATAAGTACTGAAAACCAAGATGTGTAAATGGTATAATTAGACTGTGAAAAATCTGGATAAGCACTGAATTAGAACAAAAATATAAATTCTAAGTTCGTCATAAGCTCCTGAACAAAGTGGTCGATGATGCAAGGAAAACCATAAATGTATTATTAATTCAATAAGCTGGAAATCATGACAGATAAAACATATTATTAGACTATAAACCTGGTTGAGGGAAACCGCAATATATTAATTCAATGAATTAAAGGTCAATAAATGTGAAATATATTATCAGACTGTAAAACTGGATAAATACTGAAAATCAAGATATGTAAAATGTATAACTAGACAAGCATTGAAATGTATTAAGCTAAAAAATCATGAGAGATGAAACCAGCAGATAATAAACCTGGACGAGGGAAATTGTAAATATATTTATTCAATAAATTGAAAGTCAATAAATGTGAAATGTATTATCAGACTGAAAAGAATTGGATGAGTACTGAAAATCAAGATATGTAAAAAAAAAAGAAGCGTATAATTAGACAGTAAAAAATGGGTAAGCACTGAAATAGAACTGAAGTATTAGAATCAATGTATGAGTTGGCCATAAGTCCTTGGTATAAAGAGTCCCACATCATGGTTTAACTTGGGTTTGGTGCGTTTTATATTGATGGCCCCAAGGCGGCAATGTGGATTATCTCAGGCATCAAATCACGAATATACTTTTGAAAATCAAACCTCAACCAATAACCTATCAAAATCCCAACAGCAAAATTCTTAACCCGTCTTTTGGCACCACTTGTAAATCAGCAGAGTCTTTCATTGCCGCTTCCAGCCATGTTTGCCATAACCTGGCAACAGTCCCATCAACCGGCATCATTCTTTCCTACGAGGTAGTAGACTTTTTTAGCAATATCCCCATAGCCCAGACACTCCGAATACTTAAAAAGAAAGTCAATGACTTAGAGACCCCACTGGACACCAATTTAACCACTGATAATATCATTCAACTGTTACGTCATTGTATAACTGCCACTTACTTTAGATGGTGTGATGAATATTATCAACAAATACATGACCTGCCTATGGGTAACCCACTATCGCCACTACTGTCAGAAGTATTCATGGTCAGCTTTGAAACTCATGTATTGCTGACTTCCCCATCAAACCCCTTTCTTGGTATCGCAGGGTTGATGATGCATTTATGGTCCTCAATCAAAACGACAACCCAGAAACGTTACTCCAACATCTGAACAGTCGACAAACGAGGATAAAATTCACAATGGAAACGTCGCTTAATATTACACTCAGTAATTGTGTATCCATAAAATTTTATCTTGTGTAGATAATCCGTTGGTTCAATTCAATCGGATTGAAAGAGATCCTACCAAAATTGACTTACTTGTATCATATCCCCCCCCCCCCCGTTTATCGGGTAGTCTGCAGAGGATGGATTTTAATTGTTATGTTTTTTAGGGCCATAAAATCTTAGGCCAAACTCTTAAAACAACTATTATAAAGGACTACGGGGAAAACACCCTATCATCGGCATAACAATGTCGATTTAATTGGATTCCAATTTTGGGATCATAAAATCGTAGTCTAACCTCTATATTAAAAAAATCATTAAAGATGGGTTCCCAGAAAAGTATTTATCGGGTGGTTATTTCCAATAAAAGTATTGCAATTTTGGTATATATGTAAAGTAGAGATATCCAATACTGGATTCCCCGAAAAACATTCATGGGGCGTATACAGGACAAAAATGTAAGGGTTCCCCTAATCAACAGCCCGACGATTAGGAACTTCTGCACGCGTGATGTCAAAGGTCACAAGCGAACATTGAGCGTTTGATGTACAAGTTGATAAATTTTATGAAGAGTTAGACGTACAATACTTTCTGAGATAAAAATGACGGAAAAAGACGCGGGTAGTGGATAATCCGAGAATTTAGTTAGGATTCGATATTTGTAAAAAAAAATAGTAAGCGATTAAAGACAACATTGTCTTATGTATGCAATGAATTCTCCTCTGACTCCCAAGACGTGACGTAAACATGACCTGGTTTGATCGAATTTTAATAGCAGGGCATTCCTTCGCAATTACAATGTTTGAGAAGGATTTGAAGCATAATTATGACAAATTAATTAGTTTGAATATGTTTTTGGTCCATATATACCATTAAATCACCCAGTTTGTACGCGGGAACCCATCTTTAAAGACTACGCGGAAATCGGGTTGTCTACTAACATTGTGTTAAATAAAATCCTCTATAGCCTACAATTAGATATTCCAACGCACACATTTTGTACATGAACAAGCTATTAGTCTCAGTTCTTTCTATCTCATACTTCCCAGCAAGATAGCTTGCGGAAGTCTACACTACCTTTATCTTTTGAAATCGGGTGAGCCCAGAAGCTCCCCTAACTCTCTCGAACCTGCAGGAAATATGGGTTTTATAAACATTCTAACAATAGTCCTGACGCTGAGTAGCATCCTGTATACATTTCTCTTTTACAGTGAAACTTTAGATTTTCCAGTTCTATATGCGGAGACGCTTGGAAAAAATCTGGCTAACACTCCTAGACCATGTGCATTTTTTTCTGCACAGCCAAAATTAATGATAATGACTTGCCGTCAATGCAAAGTTGCAAAATTCAGTTTTCTTGGAATAATGCAAGAGTTGACAGCATATGATTAAAATGGAACATTTATTTATCCAAGTTTTACTGAAAAATCACTTTCAATTTGAAAGTAGGTCAGAAGTTTCCTCATAGAGACATTTAGTAATTCCATGCCTTAAATTCATGATTACGGGTATTGTAGAGTGGCCGTTGGGCCAAACAACGGCCAAATATCATCAAAAGTTTCCCCTGCCGTCAAAAGTAGTATTTTGTTTTTGTTATAATTAATATTTTTATTCATTAAATCTGTATGGATTGGGTAACAAGCTATGCATATGTGTATCCCCTACCTCTGATACATGTACACATTACAAATATATACATACATATAATTACATAAATATACGATACATAATGAATAAAATAAAGACATTTTATAGTAAATATTTTGGTGGAAATCTATTTAAAAATACTGCTTGGTAATGTGGTTTATGGTAAGGTCTGTACAACACACAAACGTCCAATAAAGCAGTGATATGTCATGAAAAACGATCCATACAAAAACCTCTATTAGACGCAACGCAACACTTACTTTGTCTCTGTCCTTCTTGACGGGTGTGTTAATCTGGAGGTTTTGCCGGTCATTTTGAAAATATGCAAATTAGGTCTATTTGGACAGGGTTGAATATGGTCCTACCGAATAGCTTGCTATCAATGACCCATGCTTAGACACCAAAACAAACTTTATATCACACTTACTTTCGGTGTTGGAACAATTTAACCAATTATGGTCAATACTACTTTTGGTGGAAGGGGTAACTTTTGTTGACATTTGACCCAACGGTCACTATACAATACCCTTAATCATGCATATGATGTATGAAATTATTAAAGGTCTCTATGAGGAAACTTCTGACCAATTTTGGTTGTTTTATCTACAAAATTGGGTGTATTGAGAGGTGGTCAGATTTTGAGGAAAATTTGGCTATATAGGGTATTTCTCGACTGAAAATGATATTTTATGGTGTTGAACTATGTTTAAAACATGTTACTTGTGTCTAAACACAACAAATACACGATCCATTTAAATCAAATTCTACCAACTCTTGAATTATTCCAAGAAAACTGAATTTTGCTTTTTTTGGCCGATTGACGACAAGTCACTATCATTAATTTGGCTGTGCAGAAAAAATGCACTTGGTCTGGGGGTGTTTCCAGATTTTGTCCATGCGTCTCAACCTATACAACAGGAAAATCCAAAGTTTGGTTGTAAAAGAGGAATGTTCACAGAATGTTTACCGGAGATAATTTACAACATATAGATAAATGGGTAATTTTTTCAACAACCATAATTACCTAGTTTATTCATACGGGACGGGACAAACATGGCTTAGATAATAAATTCATTAAACTATTTTATGGGGTTACACGACAAACTCAGTCTATGTTATCTTTAAGACGAAGAAAACAATATTACTTTGAGTGGTTTTAGAAATAAGGTTTAGCGTCTTACATTTCCGCACCAACCTTGCAGGTTGTTGTGCGGAAAGTTTAGTCTTGATAGCTAATATACCTCCTACCCTTCGAATTGCCAAGGGAACTTTTACCTGAACACTAACGTGTACAAATTTGGTCGTTTGATCGACACACCCAGAACTCGAGCGTAAATCCTGAAAATAAATAAAATATATCAACTCCTTGGCATGGCTTGCCGTTACGTTAAAGTTGTACTCACCATCTCTGTGAAGACTATTCTTTTTAAATATTAAAATTGAAATCTATCCAGATATATCAAAGTAACAAAAAGAAATTTAGAGCACCACAACTAAACGTCCATCAAATTTATTCCTGTCCGGTTTCTTGGTTTGACGAAAATGCAGAGACAACTGGCATATGAACGACAAAGCTTTATATTAGGGGTGTAAATTATTTAGTAGCTATTACTTAGATCCGCTCTCATAAGTGTGTTATGACATTTCGCGGTCTGTGAAAACAGAATACGATACGGATAATAGTATTATGTCGAAATAAATTCAATTATCGTCATAAATAATATAAATCAAAATATTGAAAAGTAGTATTTGTAGGAGTTGTTTTTAAATTGACAGCGGTAGAAAAATACCAAAAGACCCACACATTGGGGTGGTAGCCACATGTTAATGGACATCGAAGCACACTTTCCAGGGTTTATTCAGTAGGTGTATTACATTTTCATTCATAAAACGCCTATGATCCAACATAAAATCTATAAAGATTGTCAAAGGTGTGTAGTTCTTTTATCATATTTAATGGCGCAATTTTTCGTAATCATATTCCGATGTATATATTGCGACTTACCATTTTTAAAACATCCGTACCCCGTAGCCAAGTATTTATCAACATCTTTGGGAAAACATTCATAATTGCTGACAGCTTTGATGACGAAAAACATAAGAAGTCTCCTTGGAAAAGAAATGTCTTTAATGGAGAAAAATGGTCTTTTATAGACTTCATTTTCAAAGTATACAAAGTGCCAAGACGTTTCCCCCCACAAGGGGGTGATTTCTCGCGTAATACTGTAAAATATATGCTCAGGGCTCGTTGTTTTCCGATTAGAAATATATTATATTATACCATATCTCTTGAACCTAGACATTATTCTATTTCTTTTGTGGAAAATTAAAATGTTTTGCGTATTATAAATTCCTTATACCAATTGAACATTCGAATAGATTTATAAGATTGAACATTCCGGTTTTCATAAGCTGATATGAAAGAAAAATAGACATCTAAAGTGAACAGTAAGTCATTTACTTCATCAGACAAAATGTTCATGATTTACTTCCTTTAGCCTACTGCTCAAACATAAAACGTTAAACTAACACATGGACCGCACTTCTTGGGCTTTGCGGTCCAAAGATAAACAGTCTAAATTAAAACAGAGCCATGTTCATAGACTGTACTAGTACTGTCCAAACCCAAAGGGCCAAAAGAAGAGGTGGCTTTTCCTTCTTGGGCTTTACTTGATGTACAGTCTAAACATAAATAGTCAAAATAACAAACTATGAGTCACTGTATTGTCCAACCATATACAGCCAAAAGAAGAACTGAGTCATATTTCTTAGGCATACTAACATACGAGCAAAACTGGTGGTGTTAATTCAATTTTAAACCTTCTCGTTTTCCCGGTAATAACACGGGCAAAACCAGAAAGTACACCACGATTTTTGCTCGTATATTATTATGCCTAAGAAAGATGGCCCAGTTCTTCTTGGACTGTACACCAAGGAAAGCCCAAGAATAATGGCCCAACTATTCTTTTGGCCTTTTGGGTTTGGCCAGTAAAGCCTATGCATTTAAAAATACAATTATTCCCATGACAACAGACTCCCATTATCTAGTCATGGTACCGAAATACTCCTTAGCAGAGTCCTGGATGTCAGTGAATGATGGTCAATAGCATACGGTATAGACAGCAATTTCTTGTACATCGGATTCGTCGGCATTATTACGTAGTTTACTACAAGGTTTTGCCCTTGGCTTAGTGTTGTTTACTAAGTATACAATGCGGTTCGGTGGTTATTTACACGAACTCACAATAAGTAAATTAGAGCACACAGCTAGCATACTTTATTCAAATTGAAAATGTTTAACAAGCCATATGTTATCTCAGTTTCGACCCTTTTTTCCATCTTGATTATTGCAACAACTTTCCGCAATGTCAACTTTAACGGGTACAATGCGTGCATAAATCTACTGCACGTTGACCCAAGCTCATAGATCCAACCACATCACACCCATTCTAAATCATCTTCACTGGCTCTGTTTCTGCTCGAAAATATGTTTATTTATTACACTGCTTCTACTTGTTTGACCATGCGTTGGATAAAAGAAATCGGCGAACTTATAGAATGACAATTTTTGGTTACAGTTCGTTGGAACCCATGTCTGTAAACCTACGTCATCATTCAAGCAAATTTGATAAAATCGCTTGTTTGAAACTGAGAGCTAAATACTCTTTATGTAGATATGTTTGTTAAACACTACGTTGGCTTTATAGAAATGGACATTTATTATTATAGAGTGTATAGCATTGTCGTATTTATGGAAATATCGCTTAAAATAAAGACACGTTTTTTTAGCAGCGAAAACAGATTGGTCGTTTAGCTCTTTCAGCATCGGCATAATTTATATTTAATTTAAATGTATATTTCATTTGATTCTAATTTGTATTCCCCTTTGGGGCTGTGGGCCATATTTAGTTGCAAAATAGGCTTAAAACTTCGATTTGTATCTATTTAGTTTCACGTTATAGGAACAATGGTCATTAAAACATTTTGTTATTTATCCAAATGAATGGGTTTGTTCTGAAATAGCAGCACACATCCTAAAATCTTTACAAATCAGAATATATACCCATTCGCTTGGACGTTAGCCATGAAAACAAAACTAAAAGCCTTGTTAGTTTCTTTCAATAAAAGCTAAACATGAAAATGGTTTTTGTACTGAAGTGGCTAAACGATCAGATTATTTATTGTCTGGGCAAGAATTTAGTCGAAGACGAGGATAAAGGCCAGATAAAGGTGGGAGGTCGTGATTGTGAACTGTAATCAATATAAGGTAACATCATTTTAAAACCGATAAGTAGACTACAATGAAAACTATTGTTAAAGGCACCAGAGACGAGATGGTATCACACGCACTTCAAGTCGGAAATAATTTATCTGATTTAAACCCACTCTTTTCAATGAAAACACGAGCCGTACAATTCTGTATTCTGTTTGTGTAAATATTTTTAAACCTCGAGTATGGTGAACGAACGTTAAAGTTACAAACGTTCTTTGTTGTCGTTTTGATTTTATTTTTTACTTTTTTATTTTTTGTGTTCTAGTTGGGTTAGTAGCCTATCTGTGTTTATTGCCATTCACGAAATGGACACTCTTGACACTTATTATATTCAGTCGTTACGGGTGAATTAATACATTTTTAACTTATAAATTCTTACTAAACGATCAATTCACAATAATAATTCATTGAAAGGCAGTCATACGATAAGGGTCATTGACCTTCCGTGAGTGTACTACAAGCTCTGAAAAATCCGAGCAAGGCGCTTTCAAATATTTAAATAGAGTTGTTCGGGCTTTCCTGTACCCGCGATAATACACAAAACGCATTATAAATGTACACATTATTAACGACTTTTAAGAAATTATACTGCAATATCGAAACCTAACCTAGACGCCACATTTCCATATTTCCTGAAACAGGTTATTTTTATAGGCTCAGGCTAAAATATAATAATTTTATACACATTACTGGTTGCCATGGCCATGTAACGAATTTTATCCCAATAACTTTATGGGTTTAAAAATTAGAATTAGTTTCGTAATTTGAATTATATGGAATACAATTACTCTTAGTATCACTTTTCATTATGGGTATTTTGACTTGTGACTAATCTACTTGGGGTGAGGCTTAACGTTTGCCAGTTAGATCATAAGGTCTGTCATTGGAGTCGTTTCGATCCCAAAATTGTACGTAACAAGGAGTTGGGTCGTCTTCCCTACCTCGTAGGTTTTCCACGGGTCTCCACCTTTCTATAAAATTCCGCCTTCGTCTATGACCCTTTAACCTCCAACGAGGAAGCTTATTCTGTTATTTCCTAGAAAGTGTTAATTGTGTACCCACGGCCACAGAACTAGAATATGTAATGGCTTATCTCCAGCTTTGTCGTCGAGTTTATTGAAAGTATAATGTCCATATACGAAGATCAGATAGATCAGCAAATATTAAAATAATTACTGCCATTATTGGGTTACTGTCGTGTTCTGTGTCATATAGTCAAAGTCAAACGAAGTGATAATGAGTATTTCTGTTCTGTGAATATTCTATTTCATACGCAAAATAAATTTTAGTATGTTAACTTAGACTGAACTTCGATAAAATGGTCGATTTGCAATTATGATATATGTGTAATTACAGTAACGAAACCCACAAGGAACCTACTACTAAATCCGAATATATTATGAAGTTTAAGTAACCATATTAGTGGTCGGACAATGCACTAGATCGAGGTGTCTATGTCGTTATGTTACTTCCGTTTTTAGAAAATTCCGATAGTTTCCTTGGATCACGACATCAATATTTTTTGCTGTACCACTATTTCGTTTTCATTCCGGGTTTTGATTTTGGGTTGCCAACTCTTTGTTTTCTGATTATCAGTCTTACTCAGACTGTTATTTTATATTACATAAATTTGAGTTCTCAGATATTTTATATCACATCATTTATTTTTCAGTTATATTAAATTACATAAATGTGTTGTCCAGTTATTTTATACATAAATATGTTCAGATATTTTATATTACTTAAATGTGTTGTTCAGTTATTTTATATTACATTAATGTTACATAAACTTATTTTTCGATTATTTTATATTACATGATTTCGTAAAACACGAAAGGTTCTCCTTTCATATCACTGTAGCGATACAGTAAATTATAGTATTACGCACATAATGGTCACAGTAAGGGTATGCCGCTTCTGCTTTTGCCGCTTTCGTGTCCTGTGTGAATTTTTAAAATTTGACCAACCCTTTACTGAACTACCGTCAACTAAATAAATTAACACCTATGGTCTTATAAAAGTCACGATTTGATTTATGACAAAAACTGACAGGGGTTAACGTCCTACTTTTCAGCGGCAATCGGAATAATAAAGACGGACATACGCCATACAATGTGCTATGAAGGATATTTTACCCGGACAGTAATTGAATTCCAACTGTCAAGGGTTCTTTTACGTTCACTCCAATGCGCACAAAGGACCTCAATTTTTTGCACCCTTCCGAAAGACTCGTGCAGGGCTTGACAAATACAGCTGTCTAGTCGTTCAGATGGGACGA